CCATAAGGAGGTAACCCGTCACGGAGATTGGCCCGCCTGTGGGAGGTTGGCTGTGGGAGTGCATTGACCACAGGGGGCCAGCTCCTGCATTGAGCATCTGCCCCTGGTGGTCAGTTCGCGTTATAGAAAACAGTCGACCAGTTGTTTGGTTGCTTAGGCTTTTATATATATAGATCATCTATGTTCTTATTGATTGCACCTGGGACGTACTGCTCCCTTTACCACCCCAACTCCTTCCCCACTATGATTATTGTGACACAGAATTCCAAAAAGGAAAATCTCAAAAAGAACTTGTGCAAAATCTCCAAGTTATACATATTAAGTACAGGTAGTACCAAAAATTCATTCATTTATTTTATGAATATTAAAAACTCTATAAAAAGTTAATCAAATGAAAAAAAATCAAGGTCTTTGAATTATAAGCAAATTGGCATCATGATAAAAAATTATCTCAGATGTAAAGCCATTCAACTAAACTGATGCTTATCCTATATAATAAAAGGCTAATATGCAAATCGACCAAACAGTGGAATGGCCAATCACTATGATGTGCACTGACCACCAGGGGGCAGATGCTCAACGCAGGAGCTGCCCCCTGGTGATCAGTGCACTCCCACAGGGGGAGTGCCGCTCAGCCAGAAGCCCTGAGCCGGGCTTACGGCTGACAAGGAGCAGACCTAAGTCATCAGTTGGACATCCCCCAAGGGCTCCTGGACTGCAAGAGGGCGCAGGCCGGGCTGAGGGACCACCCCCCCCCCCGTGCTCAAATTTCATGCACCAGGCCTCTAGTTCACTCTATAAATATTTTAAGACCATCCAAACCATTTAGTCCCAAATTCTATTTTCAGTGTATTCTACTAACTTACTTTTATTCATTACTCTGGTTGTAGATATGTAGATAACCATCCCTGTATCACTGAGGGCCAATGAGAAATAAGGACTTATGCTCCTGGGTCATCTTATAGTCAATTAATGTAGGTAACAAAGATTGTAAAGATAATGTCAATCTTATTCATTATTAATACCTACATAATACAGTAGGGCAAAGTGTTTTTTTCAAATTGCTCAAAAGAAGCTATCATGGTTCAATACAAATTTTAATAATCTAAAAAAAGCAACTGTCACTTTTTAATTTCTTTTTCAAACTAGAAAAAAAGGACATTGTTAAATGGTATAGTTCATGAATAATTGTTTGAAGTTCTGAAACTAATCCTAATTTAAGAATATTCAGAGCTACATTAATTGAAAGCTGCAGCTAAACTGAGATTCTTTAACATTAATTCAGAATAATATATACACTATCTTGTGCATAAAACATAATGTGTAATGTTACATGTTATATAAAATATATTCCATTTTGTATACATTACTGCTGGCTTTGCTTTTATACATAAATCTCAAGACACAGGATAAAGTATAAAATTACTAGCAATAGAATTAATCCAAATGAATGTCCCAGCATCCTTTTT